ATCTCAGATTCTCCAGCATCTGCAGTTCCTACTATCTCAGCCACTGAGATTAGTTGTCCAAAGAGAGTTCAGGGTTCATATCCTGAGAAACACTGGGACAGCTATTTGTTCACTTGGGCTGGGAATAGAGAAGGAAAAGAGCAGCACTTGATGACTTTAAATATGGCTTGATGATCTTAAATAACCTGATGTCATGAAAATCAGCCAGATTATATGAATAGTTTAGGAGTAAGAGACATTGATTAAGACTAAACTGAGCAACCTGTGGACTGGAGATGGTAGAGTGCATTCATTCCAGATAACTGCCTTACTGCTACAGCTAGCAAAAATCTGTGCTGCTGTTCTTGTGAAATAGCTCTGTATGTCAAATGCCTGTATTTGGCCACAGGATGTTTAACACAGGGTGTGTTCAGAGCTAGTGTTGACTTGTTGAAAATCAGTGACTCCACCGTTCTATTCAATTAGTTCACATTGAAGGAAAAGAGTGAGAGTAATTTTTTTGCTGGGGAATATGTATGAGTCAGGCCTACAGGCTAGAAGCTTAACTGTAATTGAACATGTTAATTCCAAAGCAACTGATGGGAACAGAGGCTATTTCACTGACTCAGGACCATTCAAATGTGGTAAGACAGATGAATTGCCATGGGATTCCTGTATGGAAAAGTAGCAGGAACCAGAAGACCAGTAAGGTGCCTGAAATTCTGCTTCAGAGATGTTTGCAAAGGTGATTAAATATCAAGGTGACTAAATATCAATTTTTCATACTAGCCAATAACAGAGAAAAATGATGACATCATCCATGTATCCTAATGATGAACCGTGGCTACAACGGTTTGGCAACAGGAGCTAACCCCAAAAATAACAACCCATAGAGATGCCTGATAACTACCTCACATTGTGGCACGTGTGGCTGAAGTTCCCTCATCCTGATGGATTTGCTGCATATCCATTATCTCCTGCAGCTGGTAGTACCCTAGTGTTTCTTCTCCTCATTTGTTTTGCATAATTAAAATGTCACATAACTTTTTCCTACTGTGTTGATATGCCTTGGACTCTACATGAACAGTCACTCTTCTTTCCTGATTTGTCCACTCTGGGATCTAGCTGGCAAATATCGATGAAGGTACTTGTAGAGGATTTTGCATCATAAGCTAGTACAAAGTGTACATGCAGAGGATTGGACTCTGTAAGATTGTACTGAAATCATTGCTTTCACATTTAAAATGTCTGTTTTAATTTGGCCTGAATGATGGAGCTATAGTATCCAAATGCTGGAAAATAGTTTCGGAAATCAACATTTATTTGGCAGAGAGAGATTGAGGTACTCTTCTGATGATAATGTTCAAGATTTGTACCCCACTAAAACCTTCAAAATCCACTCCTGGTGTAATTTTGTGTTCTTAATATTTTTCACTCTAATGTGGCAGGGTGTGGGTGTACTTTGCTGTTTAAGTCACTGACTTGTTTTCATATGTCATATGTCATAGTCAGGGCTATTGACCTTTGTTGGAACTCCTGGTTAGCTTTTGCAGATTTGTGAGATTAATTGTATGGAGGATGTTATGTTGCTCTGTATGTCTGCAGATTGTTTCCCTTTTTCGCACTGCATTTGGCTGTGGCCTAAGTCGATCATTCAGGCACAGCTCAAACATTTTTGCACCACTATTTGTTGCTTCATAATTGTGTTGCCATATATGTCTCCCAGACAAGTGAGTTCCAATCATTGGTATTCATAGAGGTTGGCAGGAAGATGAATTAGATCATGGTCTAATTAGGCTGAAATGTTCCTGTACTGTTGGAAAAGCTACATATTTAGAAGACAAAAGCTGTTCTCGGACTGCAACAGGACCCTTTTCCCGGGGTGGTTAAGTAATCTGCTGCTGTTACAATCACCTGCAGCCATACTTTCTCCTTTGTAATTCCGTTATTTTTGAGGACATTCTAGTTGACCTAGTGAGATCTGTTGATGTCGTTTGAGAGAAATCATTGATCTGGCACTGTGAATTAACATGTGCTCATTCAACATGCATGGTCACTGAAGAATCCTGGGTTTTTGAATGTGTTTATACTCAAGCTGAGGCTAAGCAGGTCTCCTGGGCCACTTTCTACAATGCAAACACCTCTAGCTTTGTTCTTTTGAACTAAAATAACTTTTATAAATCAGCTAAAACAACAACTTGCATTTTTAAAGTGTCTTTAGTGGAGTAAAACATCCAAGAATATGCTTCGCAAGAGATTATCATCAAAATATAACACTGAGCCTCATAAGGAGATATTAGGAAAGGTGACCAAATGCTTGGTGAAAAGAGAGAAATTTTTAAGGGATGTCTTAAAATACAACAGGGCGATGGAGAGGGTTAGAGGAAGAATTCCAGAGCTCAAGACCTGTCACTGATGAAAGCCATAGAGGAAAGCCAAGGTGAAGATTTGTAAAATCATGCATTGCCAGATCAGGAATGACTGTGAGTGACCTAACACACAGATAGTAGCTAAATGGATATAAGTGCATGTTAGGGTATGCAGAGCGGAGTTCTGGATAAGCTTAAATTCACAAAGGGTACAAGATGACAGCATTTCAGTAATTGAGTCCAGAGGTACCAAAGACGCAGAATGGGGGTTTCAGCTATGGATAGAAACAAAGCTTAGTGAAGATCCTAGGCAAAGATTTGAACTTTGAAAATAATGATGAGAGTTTTTAATAGGTCAGCTTGAAAGCAGGCTTTGATAGAATTGCAGAACAGTAGAACCATTGCAACCGCTAGAGGAACCTGTTGCAGTTCCTTTGCTTGCTATCTCATTTTACCAGGATTAAGATAATTTTTATCTTAAATCCAATTTTCACCCTTCCTGTTGAAACCTGGGTGTGTTGGACACCAGCCCTCCTCTTACCCCATCACTGCTGATATTTCTTTTGGGAAGCTAGTTACTGAGTGCTGGCAGGCTGTGGGGACATCACAGCCCAACTCATTCAAACCTCTGTGCCACTAAGGTTTGAATAAGAATACTTGGTGTTCATTTTGTCATCTGGGAGTACATTTCATATGTTTTTCTTTGCAATTATTCAGCAGTTCCTTTTCATTACTCCCACAGCTGATAATAAATTGCATGTTATTCACTTTAGCGTCATTCTTTAACGTATGGTGTTGAAATGGGCGTTTAGCTGACAGTGCATGAAGGAAAGGGAGTGATACTTTGTCAAATTTCTCACTACAAGCACTTGCCAAGCAGACTGTTTGGGAAACAGCGACCATTCTTGACAGGGAGGGGCATAGGAGAATCAGGGAGAACTACGCCCCACCGAGTTCATTATTACTCAGTTACTACTTTCTGGTTCTTGCTGATTCGCTGGAGCAGCCCCATGCTTTGCCAGTGATGATCGCTCCATGCTGCTAAATTCTCGATGTTGCCCTAGAAACTGTGCACATACCACTAGAGGAAGGAGGTTCAGGCAGTATCACAGTTTATCTTCTGTTAAACATAATGTTCAGCACAGAACAGGCCAGGTGGCCCAATTGTTCAGATTCACAGAATAATAGACTTGTTATTGCACAGAAAGAGACCATTCAGCCCTTTTTGTCAGTGCTGGTCCATCCACCAAAACCACCCCATCCTTACAATTGTTTCACCATTTGCTCTCTTCAGGTTCTTGTCCAATTCCGTTTGAAAATTGTGATTGAATCTGCCACCACAATCCACTCAGACGAGTTTAGCCATTCATGGCGTTAAAGAAGATGTTCTTTCTCATGTGTCATTTGCTTCTTTTGCCAATCACTTTACATCTTTGTCCTCTGGTTCTCCAGCCTTTGATTAATGGGAACTTTTTCTCTTTTTGTACTCCATCTAGACACCTCCTGATTTATATTGGACATGAACTTCCTATTTCATCTCCTCCCTGTTCAGCATAGCCTCCTATTCCTTTCTTCCTAATGCACTCAACCAACTTGGACCTTCCCCTTAAATATATCTATTGTTCCTAGGGTAAAGGAATTACATTTTTAGGACAAATTGCAGAGTTTGCATTTATATTCCATTGAATATTGAAGGTGAAGAGGTGTTCCAGTTGAGATGTTTAAGATCCAGTGGTCAACCAGGCTTTCAATCGAATGAGATATGGAAGAACATTCTCCAATTGGTCTCTGACACAGTAAATCTGCCCCTTCTCCTGATTCGAGAAATTTAAGTTAATTTGGAGATTCCAAATGGGCCTTGGGTTTCCAATCCCGAAATGAGATGCTTCATTTTAGCACAGTAGAAAATGACTTTGTTTTATCTCCTAGGTCTGGGGGCACAAGTGGGCTGATCTATCGGAGCATGGCTTTGGTGTAGCATTACTGAATGATTGCAAGTATGGATACTCAGTGCATCGCAACATAATGACACTATCCCTGTAAGTACTCGATAACAATCAGAGATTTATCGCTGTCAAGGAAATGGTGCTCTCATAATCTATAGGCCTGCTCAGATAAGGAAATGTTTCTTGTTACATAAGTGGGAATCTGATAAAATGCTCCTGTAGTGCATTTGATTGAGTGAGTTTGAAAATTTTCATAACGGGGCCTGGGGCTTTAGTTCCATCCCATAAAAGAAATAGAGAGTACTGATGAAGCAGTTTGTATTGTTTAAACGTGCAGTGGAATTTATCCTTAGTTATATTTGTAAATAGTCTATGTTAGCAATACAGTATGGATTTGGAGGAATACAACAGGTCAGGAGACATCAGAGGAGCAGGAAAGTTGGCGTTTTGGGTCGGGACCCCTCTTCAGAGAAGGGTTCCGACCCAAAACATCAACTTTCCCGCTCCTCTGATGCTGCCTGGCCTGCTGTATTCCTTCAGTTCCATACTGTGTTGTCTCTGACTCCAGCATCTGCAGTTCTTGCTGTCTTATGTTAGCAATACTTTGCTGTCCCAAGCAATATCAACTACAAATCATGGTGAGTTATTTAACATCAGTGTGTGTATAATGTACTGCATTGGCTCCATTCTCTGTTCACTGTGCAGGCAGCATCAGAGGAGCAGGAAAGTTGATGTTTTGGGTCGGAACCCTTCTCTGAAGAGGGGTCCCGACCCGAAACGCCAACTTTCCTGCTCCTCTGATGTCTCCTGCCCTGTTGTATTCCTCCAGATCCATACTGTATTGCTAACATAGACTATTTATAAATATAACTAAGGAATGAGGAACTGACTCTGCAAGCTAGGCCCATTGTGAAATTTCATGCAATACTCTAATGATTGCAAGATCTTTGTACACCTTCAAACCAGTCAGCACAGCAAGCAAACTGAGGTCTGTACTTCAGTGAGTGAATGAGATGAAGGCTTTTAAGACCCCCCAGAATTCTCAGATTCTGGGCAAAATGACTCTGAAAACATTAAGGAGCATTTGGGTGAGTTGTTTCAGGAATAATGGAATCAGGCAGGAAAGTCTTGGATGACAGATGGAAAGTCAGAAGATTCTTTATCACACAGTTTTTATCTATAAAAACCATAAGGAATTTGGGCTGAGTAGAGGGGGAGAAACTATTCCCATTCATGAAAGGGTGGAGAATGAGAATACACATGTTTAAAGTCAAAGAAACTGAAGTAACATGAGTAAAAACCTTTCAATGCAGCAAGTGGTTAGGATCTGGAATATTCTTCCTGAGAGTGTGATGGAGGCAATCCAATTGAAGCATTCAAAAAGGGAATTAGACTGTAGAGGAAATTCAGAGAGCTAAAGCAAACGCAATGGGCCAAATGGCCTCCCCCTACACTGTAACAATTCTGTGATATGTAAATGAGGGGCAGAAATGTTTAATTGAAGCCACAGGCGTTACCTATATCATGACAAGTCACTGCCCTCAATAACTGCCTCAATAACAGCCATGTCACCTCCTGGGAGAGGCAAAAAAGCATCACATAAATTAATAAGGGAATAAAAGTAAATTCCATTCTCACTACCTGACGTGACCAGAACTAGTCCAGGAAGTCGCATGGGCTAAGCATTACATATAATAGCCCTACTGGGTAATTTTTGTCCCTGTCAGGAGCTGCTCCACTTCCCTCTTGATGGCATTGCAGAGTGTCAGCACCCATCACAAATTCTAGCACCTATTGTAGGCTCATTTCTCACTGGGAAGTAAACGACAGCTTAACATCAGTCCTTTCCAACATTTGAGTAATTTAAACACATGTCCCTGGTCTTCCCCATGTCTTTAACAGATCAAACAGTTTTAACAGAAACTGGATTAGTCTGCTATCAGCACTACCTGCCCTTTAAATCTGTATAAATCTCCATCGAACCACCTGTGTCCGCACTGCTGTCACAGTAAATAGATGACCCAGCGCTTGTCTGAATAACTCATAGCTTTCCTCTAAATCTTTTCCAAGGCCATTCTATTACTGAAGGGGTCTCGACATGGTGACCAGTAAAATCAAAGTTGAGATCTTTGTGAAACTACTGCCTGTGGTCAGGCCTGTGGCAACCTCGGAACTCAATCCCGTGGTGCCTGGACCTGGTTCAGATTTTTTTTCACTTCCATTAGTCCTTTCCCAAAGAAGCAATAAATGAAAGTTGTCTCTGTGTTGTGTTGTCTAGCATGTGCATACAGTCTTTATTTCTCCTATGGGACATAACCCATAACTGTTACCAATCTTGGACTCATTCATCAGCTGACATAGACGGGGCAGCGTCGGTGACTTGCTACATGAAAAGACTTGCCATTGGCCAGTTGTATATGGTTTGTTGGTATGTCAGAGAAAAAGTGGGAACTGTGTTTTGTATAATTGATTGTTGTGATAAATAGCTGAATGGCATCAGGAGCCACCATTACAGCACTGGATGACATTGTCTACAAATAAGTAAAACAAATTGAAATAGGTGATTGTTAACGTAATCCTTGATTAAGATAGATGTTGAAGAGTCTCTCACATTGTGATTCACATAATAAATTACTTCTGTTCGAGGATTCAACAAGATAGAGCATTATATGAATGCAAATATTATCTGTCCTGTGTGGGGTGGTGGTATATTCTCATTATCTGTGACACGTAATGGTATCAGCTGTTTGTCTGTACAAGATGATTCTATTCTCCCTTGTGTCACGTATCTGTCCAGTGTCTGTTTGGGCTATTGGAATCTGCTGTGAATCTGTATGGAATGATGGATCTGCTCTGAATCTGTGAGGTGATGGATCTGCTCTGTGTCTGTGTAGCCTGATGGTATCTACTCTGTATTTGTACAGAATGATGGATCTGCTATGAATCTGTATGGGGTGATGGTTTCTGCCCGGTATATGTACAGGGTGATATCAGCTGCTGTTTATCTGTGCGGTGATGGAATCTGCTCTATTTCTGCATGAGGTGATGGTATCTACCCCATCTTGTATGGGGTGCTAGTTCTGCTCTGTACAGGATGATGGTACCTGTTCTGTGTCTGACTGGGGTGATGGTATTTGCTCTGTGTCTTCAATGGGTGAAGGTATCAATTCTGTCTGTACAGGCTGATGGTATGTGCTCTGCTTCTGTATAGAGTGATAGATCTGTTCTGTGTCTGTACAGGCTGATGGCAACAGCTGATGGTATCTGCTCTGTTTCTGTATAGGATAATGTTATCTTCTCTGTATCTGTACAAAGTGGTATCTGCTAATGGTATCTGCTATGTAGCTATACAGGGTGATGGTATCTGCTCTGTAATTATACAGAATGATGGAATCTGTGATGTATCTAAAAGAGTTAGTTTACAGTTTATAGAAGTTGATATCAGGTGTGGGAAAGTAGATAGAGGGCTTCAAATATCAAACCTAGATTCAGACATCATAAATGATATGTTCAGTGTTCGAAATGTGTATGCTTCTGTAGTTAATTATTGAGAATATCCAGCGACTCTCCAATCCACCATAATTTGGTCTTTACTTACAGCTTGCGAGCTCCAAAAGCACCAGATGCCACAGCTGATATGGGCCATCATCAGTTCACTTATGCTATCATGCCCCATGCAGGTAAGTAAGTTGAAGTGGTCTTACCTCTTTCACCAATGAATATACATATACTATTACAGTATTTGCTTCCTGTATCTCCATTTTGACAGTAACAGAAGAGCAGTGAGTTGCACAGGGTACCATGTGAAAATATTGTTTCTACTTGGGATCTTATCTCAACTCGCAGAAATTTCAAAATAATTCACAACAAATGATGTATTATTGTGAATTGTAATGACTGTTAACAGACAATCTAGGTCAGAGTCTAATATCTTCTCTGACAAGGCCACGTCTAGCAATACAATACTGAACAGCCATCCTAGACAATTCTCCAATCCTTCTCCAATCGTCCAACCCACAACCTTTACGTTTGGAAGGTTGGAGCAAGAAGTCCATTGATGAACCAGACACACAGAGGCTCTGCATGTTGGCCTCCCATCTTTCACATTTTAAATCTGAGATCAATCCATAAGTCTGCTGTTTCCATCCTAACATGAACTCTCCTCCCTGGTCTTCCATGATTATATTAACTCGTGGCTAAGCAGAACCTCGCTGTAAAAATTCTCACCCTTGTTTTCAAATCCTTCCATGGCCTTACCCCAACTTATTTCTGTAATCACCTCCTATGCTACAACTCATCAATACTTCTTCAACAGCACCCTCCAAACCCACAACTACCTCCATCTAGAAGGACAAGGACAGCAGATACATTGGGTCACCACCACCTGCAAGTTCCCCTCTGAATCGTACATCATCCTGATGTGGAAATATATCACTTTAGTTTCACTGATACTGGATCACAGACCAAGAACTCCCTCCCTAACAGCACTGTGGGTAATCCTACACCCCAAGGATTGTAGTGGTTCAAGGTGGCAGCTCATCCCCACCTTCTCTGGGGTAGTTAGGGATGGGCAATAAATGTTGGCATGGTGACCCCCACATCCACTGAATGAATTAAAAAAGAACACCAAAATATCTGAACAAAAAACAGAAATTACTGGAAAAACTCAGAAGGTCTGGCAGCATCTGTTGAAAGAAAGCAGAGTTAACATTTTGGGTTCAGTGACCCTTCTTTAGAGCTTCTTCAGTTCTTCACTTCATCAGAGTTCTGAAGAAGGGTCAGTGCACCTGAAAGATCAACTCAGCTTTCTCTCCACAGATGCTGCCAAACCTGCTGAGTTTTTCCAGCAGTTTCTGTTTTTTGTGATCAAGATATCCAAATTATTCCAATTCTGGACACTTGTGTATCCTCGATTTTATTTACTGCCTGATTGTCTGCCATGCCTTCAGCCATCTCCTTCCATATTTCTGCCTCTTTTTCCTCTTATGACATGCTGTTTATGTAGCTCAGTGTCACACTGTAACTGTGACAGACATACTCTTGTCCTCCTTGATTTGTCTGCGGCCTTTAACACATCCTCCTCCTCCAGTGCCTGTCCAATGTCATCCAGCTGTGTGGGACTGCTGTCACATGGTTTCTTTCCTCTCTATCTAATCACAGCCAGATAATCACCAGCAATGGCATCTCTTCATGTTCCTGCACTGCTAACGCCAAGGAACAGTTCCTGCTTCATCTCCGTACTACAGCTTCTGACATCATCTGAAAGCAGGAAATTGGTTTTCAAGTGTATGCTGATGACCCCCAGCTCTATCTTACTGCCATCTCTCTGAATTTCTCCACTGTTGCTAAGTTACCAGATTGTTTACCCAACACTCAGTAGTGGATGAACAGAAAATGCTCCCAATTGTATATTGAGCCAAAAAGGTTGAGAAGGCAAATAGTGTGGATGACACAGAATCTGCAGAGGGAGATAGACAGTTTAAGTGAGTGAGCAATAACTTGGCAGATGGAATATAATGGGGGAAAAGGTGAGGTTATGCATTTTATGCCAGTGGAAGAAGACATCAGCAATGAGGGTTTAGATGTCTTGTGTGTGAAACGTAAAAACTAGCATCGAAGTTCAGTGGGTAAAAGGGGAGGCAGATGGACTGTTGACCTTTATTAGCAATTATTCACTGGAATGCAGAAGAATGAGAGGAGACCATATTGAAACATGAAGGTTGTTGGGGATTTCACAAGGTAAATGAAGATAGGGTTGTTTCCCCTTGTTGGAGAGTCCAGCACCAGAGATCATTATCTCAGAGTAAGAGGTCACCTATTTAAGAAAGAGATGAAGAGGAATTTCTTCTCAGGAGGTAGTAAATCTGTAAAATTCTTTACCACAGAGGGCTATTGAGGTTATTAAGTACATTCAAGGCTGACGTAGACAGGCAGGTTTTTAATCACTTAGGGAATCGAGGGTTATAGGGAAAAGGCAGCAAAATGGAGTTGAGGATTATCATCAGCCATGGTCTCATTGAATGGTGGAGCAGAATTGATGGGCTGAATGGCCTACTCCTCTTCCTATGTCTAATAGCCTCATGATCTTGATGTCATATTGACCTTGTAAAGAGTTTCCACTCACAAATCTGTGCCGTTATTAAGATTACCTGTTTTTGTAACATTACCCTTCTCAGCTCATCTGCTGCTGAACCCATCACTTAGATCTTTGTTATCCCTAAGTGTGACTATTCCAATGTTAGTTGGCTTTCCACATTCTACCCTCTGTAACTTAGAACATCCAAAATCCTGCTGCCCATGTCCTAAATTGCAGCAAGTCTTATTTCCATTAATTCCCATTGCCTAATTCCCTGCACTCTGGAATTCTGTCCTTACACCTCTTTCCCTGTTTGACCAAGTTTTTATCATCAAATTTGACATCTCCTTTTGTGGCCCAGTGTCATACTGTTTTATAAAGCTTCTGTAACTGCTTGGGGGAGTTTTACTACCTCCAAATCATAAAATATCATTTCAAATTGTTGTTAGAATTTCTGACAAACTGGTTAAAGTATACATGCAAAGTGACATCTCCATTGAATTCTGTACTTTCTGGTACTCGATTTGCTACTCTTCTGTTGAGTTTACCTTTGAGTTTTTTAATATGGTTAGACTGGAGGCGTGGAATGCTCTGTTAATACTCAATTTATCAATACAATTGTTGAATTTCTTGTCAATCCCAACTCACTGCGCACACGTCCCAATACAGACAGACCGGAGAAAGGGGTAAATAAAACCAAAGTACTGTGGGTTCAGGAGATCTGAAATAAAAACAAAAAGTGCTGGAGAAACTCAGCAGGTCTGGTAGCATCCATGGAGCGAGAAACTGAATTAACATTTTGACTCTGATATGAAGGGGTAATCAGGAATTTCTTTAGATATTTCTTCAGAAATCCTGACCGAAACATCAACTTTCCTGCTCCTCTGATGTGGCATGGCCTTCTGTGTTCCTCCAGCTCCCCACTGTGTTATCTCTGACTCCAGCATCTGCAGTTCTTACTGTCTCTTCTGGGGAATTGGGTCTCTTTTGCTGTAGACTTGTGGCACATATATTTACCAGATTTTGTGCAGAAACAGGACAAGTAGGGCTAGCACACTGGCTCAGGGATGAGCTTGTGATATTGTGGCTCAGCATGTGAATCTGCAGAGTGTTTGTGCTGTTGTCGAAACCTGTGACTGTTTGCAAACACCAGTCCTAACCTGACCAGAAGTTAATATATCTGACCCTGCAGTACTGATTTGAGTTTTGACCTAGGTTGGGATGCCTGACATAGTGATTTTGATCTGGCTGAGAACATGTTGGTGTCTATTTTTAATTAGTTGTACCCAGAAAAGATTTCAGTTGTAGTCCTTGCCCTGATGTGGCCTGTTCTCTTTCCCCCACAGGTTCTTTCCAAGAGGCCAATGTGATTCAGTTTGCTTACAACATTAACTACCCATTACATATTGTGCCTGCTGAACCCAGTGTCAGTGCTTCCAGTTCCTGGAGTGCTTTCTCGATCCAGTCTCCTGCTGTCATTCTGGAAACTATTAAACAGGTAATGATTGGAAATGTACAAACTGATCACGTTTTAAAAATCAATTCAGTAATGACATTGCTATGATTTACTATGAAATAACCTTCAGATGTGTCATGGACTCAAAGCTGTAGTGTTTTGTTGACTCTTTAAGTCAATCACCCTAACAACCTCTTTAAGTGATTGTGGTTTGAGCATTAAACTTCATGAATTTTGTCAGTGTTGCACTGTGGTAGTTACACACTTTGGAGGAATAGATTTTTTTAGTAGTTTTTTTTTAACCTGGGAAGTGAGAAGATCTGTAGGTGAAATACAGTGGGCAGTCCACGTAATGGATGCTTTAACCCAGTGAGAGAAATGAATATTTTTTACACTGATTATATGAATGTTTCTCCCCACCAGGCTGAAGACAGAAAAAATGCTTTGGTAATTCGGCTGTATGAGTCACATGGCAGCACCGTGGTCACATGGTTGCATACTTCACTGCCTGTTAAACAAGCAGTCTGGTAAGTGGCTGTCCCAATGGTCATGGGTCTAGTGTCTGACTGTTGTACTTTCAAGGTGTTGGTGCAGGCACTCATTAGAAATATGTTTCCTTTAATAAAGGATCCTTTGTGACCTCAGAACATTCCAAAGCACTTTCCAGCTGGGAAGCAAGTTTGTTTGAAGTGTTTTTGCTGTTGTAACGTGGGAAATGTAGCAGCCAGTTTGGGCACAACAAGCTCCCACAAACACAGCCACGGAAGAGGTGCTGGAAGAGTGAGGGACGGTTAGTGTTGTGCCATTATTTAAGATAGGCTGCTAGGAAAAGCCAGGGATCTACAGAGTCTAATGTCAGTGGTACGTATGTTTTTGGAGGAGATTCTGAGAGACAGGATCTACATGCATTTGGGAAGGCAAGGACAGATTAGGGATAGTCAGCATGACTTTGTGCTTGGGAAATTGTGTCTCACAAATTTGACTGAGCTTATTGAAGAAGTGACCAAAAAAAAAATAGATGAATGCAGAGCGGTAGGCATTGTCTACATGGTGGACTGGCTACGAAGGTTAGATCAAATGGGATGCAGAGAGAGCTTGCCAGTTGAATGCAAAATTGGCTTGACAGTAAGAGACAGAGGGTGTGGTAGAGGGTTGTTGTTCAGACTGGAGGCCTGTAACCAGTGGGGTGCCACAAGGATCAGTGCTGATTTGGATGAGAAAATAGGAGGCATGATTAGTAAGCTTGTGAATGACCAAAATTGGTGGTATAGTGGATAGTGAAGTAGGTTATCTAAAAGTAGAAGGGGGTCTTGATGAACTGGGCCAAGGAATGACAGATGGACTTCAATGCTGCTAAATGTGAGGTGTTGCACTTTGATAAGACACATCAGGGCAGGACTTACACAGTGAATGGTGAGTGTTGTCAAACAGAGAAACCTAGGGGTTCAGGTACATAGTCTGTTGAAAGTGGCGTCACAGGTAGACAGGGTGGTGAAGGAGGCATTTGGCACGCTTGCATTGGTCAGAGCATTGAGTACAGGAATTGGGATGTCATATTATAGCTGTAGAAGACATTGGTAAGGCCACAGTTGGAGTACTGCGTGCAGTTCTGGTAACCTTGCTATAGAAAGGATGTCATAAAACTGGAAAGGGTACAAAAGAGAATTACAAGCATATTAGTGAGACTAGAAGGTTTGAGTTAAAAGGAGAGGCTGGATAGTTTGGGTCTTTTATCTCCCCAGAGCGCGAAGGGTGATATTATAGAGGTTTGTAAGATCATGAGGGGCACAGGTAAGATGAATAGGCAAGGTAATTTCCCCAGGGTAAGGACACCAAAACTAGATGGCATAGATTTAAAGTGAGAGGGAAAAGGGACCCAAGGGGCAACATTTTCACACAGAGGGAGATGCCATATATGGAGCTGCTAGAAGAAGTGGTAGAGGTGAATACAATTACAACATTAAAAAGACATTAGGATACATACATGGATAGGAAAAGGTTTAGCAGGATATGGGCCAAACACAGGCAAATGGGATTAGTTTAGTTTGGATAAGTTATGCTGTAACACTATAACAGCAGTGTGATCTGTTTCAGGTTCTGCATGGGTAAGAATAGAATGTGTTTATTATACAAAGTGAATTTGTTTTGTTCTGACCATATACCAAGATTATAGGATATTCTGATCAAATGACATGGCGTATTAATATCCATTCATCCAGACTAAGCACAAAATTGCAACCAGGTCAGATTTATATAGTGAAGTGAAATGTTTGCAAATTCAGAATTTTCACCTTTATTCTTGGATTGTTGCGGGTTATGCAATTGACCCTGCAATTTAATTCCAATTCTATCATTATTAATGAATATGCTACTTCCTCCGTAGGGTCCCCTTGCTGTCGGAGAACTGAAGATTAAGAGTTATTTCTGCTGTCTTGCAGGTCTGATCTTCTGGAACAGCCCATCGGAACCAAACCCCTCTCCATCATTGACAGTCAGATCCAGCTTTCCTTCACTCCATTCCAGATCCGTTCCCTACTGCTCACTTTCTGAGCTATAATTGTAGAAAGTGGGACTCATACATGGTTTCTATTAATTTCTATTAATTAGTTTCTTTTTAAATTATCATTGAAATAGTTTCTAAATACAACACAATCAAGCATACTGTAGTAAATGAACAGCATTATTTAATGAAATTACCAATGCAAAAAAGGTATGTCTTGATCATTCCTTACACTTGTAGAGTGTGATTTGCTAGTTTTCACATATGACTGTAGGTAGACTGTTAAGATCTCAGCAGCAATAACAGCTAGTATTATACAGCATTTTTAACATAGTAAATTGGTTAAAGCTGCTTCTGATCTGGAGGTGATGGTGTCGAACTGGAGTGGACGAAGTCAGATGACACCAGGTTATAGTCCAATAGATTTATTTGAAATCACAAGCTCTTGGAGTATTGCCCCTTCGTCAGGTGAAGCTGCTTCCGTCATCAGTTAAAACTAGTGAGAAACTCAGAAGGGTGAACAAAACCTTGTTCTGAGGTAGGCTTCAAGCAGCACGTCAAGAGAGAAATTTAGGAAGGGAACGATAGAGCTGAGGTTCTGGAATATCGTAGAAGGTTACAGGGCCACATTTTAACAGCAGAATGAAGAAGTTAAAAATCTAGGCTTTTGACAATGTAGGTCTGTACGTAGGGGAGTGAAAAACGATTGGAAGTGATAGGGGAAGCTAAATTTTATGTAAGTTTAAAGACAGTATAAAATAGAAGGCTGGCTAGGGGAATATCGCAAGAGTCCAGTCTATATTTAACAATCAGTATGAGGATTTCAGCAGCAGACAGGCTGAGGTAGAGATGGGGGATAAGGCACAATCCACAACTGTTCCATTATTTTGGCTGTAGACCACCTGTCTCTGATCAGGGCAAATACATAGGAAGTATTTTCCTTTAGAAAACATTTGTACAATTCACCAGCCCAGGACAAAAGTCTACACACCTGGAGACTTCCCTCTAGTTTATTAAAACTTACATATGGCAAACTGTTTTCTAAAGATCTTTTTAATTAAAAAGTCAGTAAACAAATCCTATTGAGAATGATTAGTGGAATAAAATGATTTTTGCAATTACACAAAATGACTGAGTAAATACAGTCTTGATTTTTAGCAAAGTGCATAGAGAATAATGCATCAGCAACTCCCACTCTAAAACAGAAGTTATGGGGCACTTAATCTGGGAGAGGGTAGAAATTTGTAATTTGCACTTGATTCACACACACTGTCTCAAACATGCTTTGCAACACATCAGGGTGCACTAATCAAGTATTTCTCTATAATGAGGGAAAATAAGTCATTTTAGCCTCCTGTTTGGAAATATATAGTCACAGAACCTGTTCACACAAGCTAGAGGAATAGCAGAAGATAACTCAACAGAACAGAAAAAATATGGAAGAAAACAGATGTTTTCAGAAAAACCCAACTTATTCCATGGAACAGACTTTTATCAGAGATTAATCAGCTCAGCCCCAATCACTGACAGTTTGCTGGAAGTAACAGGTTATTAAGCTTGGTGGTGTATTACGTGAGGGAAAAGGCTTCTCTACTCCAGGCCTGGATGAGGGGAACTGAACTAACTGCTGGTACATCATTTCCCTTATTTACATTTAGCTTGTGTAGTCAGTGCTGCAACCAGCTAGAGATATGGAAATCAATTCAGGACCACAAGTTTTGATACAACAGATGCTGTGCCCATCACTGGAGAAATGGGAAAATGCTGCTGTGACTCCAGCTGCTCAAGGTCAGTCAAATAACATCAATGCACCAGAGGTTTATATCATCATGACAGGCATCGATAAGGTTAACAGCAAAGGTCCTTTCCCTAGAGTGGGTGAGTTCAAAACTAAGGGGCATATTTTTAAGATTAGAGGAGAAAGATTTAAAAAGGGACCTGAGAGGCAACATTGTCACACACACACTGGTTCATATGTGGAACAGTTACAACATTTAAAAGATAATTTGGCCAGGTACACGAATAGGAAAGGTTTAGAGGGATATGGGTCAAACACAGGCAAATGGGACTAGTTATTTGAGAAACCTGGTCAGCACAGATGAGTTGGACCCAAGGGTCTGTTTCTGTGATATATGACACTTTGGTCCCTTGCTGACATTTCTTTCCTTAAGCAAATATTGGTTTGACAAACCACTCCATGCAGCCTGCATGTTAGTGGTGAACAGTACAATGTTATGTAAACATTGGATGGTTGCCAGTGTGGTGACACAATAGTCATTTCCAGTTCATTGCAGGGATTACTGCAAAGAAAACAGGCTGAGATCTATACAGACCACTGTAAGCTGTGAGGGGTCCAAGTTCCATCAGGGGAGTTCCAAGTCACATTTTAAATAAGTCAAAGTATAATGTAAAATAATATTTATCCTGAGAGTAGAATAAAATGCATCCGGCAGCTAATGTGGCCAGTCCTTTAAGCCCCAGATTTAAATACACACAAGCACATAGACTTAATGGTGACATGATGTTTAGTTTTACTGCTACTGTGACTAACTGCAGCAGTAATTGACAGAGGAGCAATTAAGTCAGGGACACATCTTCAGGCACGAAGGAATTTATGGAACAAGTTACTTGATACTCATTGAAGCAAACAGAATAACTGGGTCAAGAACATCAGTGTATTTGTGGTGTTATGCTATTAAAATATGGGTAAAATGGTCATTAACTTCTGACAAAATCCAAAGGAAAAGGCACATTTTTTGTAATATACCATTTCTTTAAGGTAATGAAACATAACATCCTCTTTCACAATATTGTATGCTCCACTTAATTGCCATAAATGAAAGCTCAGGAAACAACAGCATTAAAGAAAACATCTGGTTGTCAGGAGTGCCCAAGTGCCTTGTGTAATTAGTGAAGGATGCCCCTAAACCACAGAGGGTGAACAGGAGCATTCAGCCAACAGAATGGATTCAAGTGATGGGACATGAAGCACAAAACTGTCCTATTTATAAAAGATAGACACACAAAACAAACCAGAGTGAGAGATCTAAAAAGCTGCAAGGTTTAGATTAGAGGTGTAAATAGTGGGGGAGAATATACAATAAAAGGCAAGCTTGCCATAAAATACTAGAGGTTAAGGATGCACTCTAATTAATTACAAATGCTTTAAGTTGACCAAACTCCTCAACTATAAACCAGTGTTACTCTGACAGCCAGCCTCTGCAAGTCTGTTCAGTGGGTAAACAATCAGTAAACTGTTGGATTGAACTTGAGACCACATTATTCAGAATTTTATCGTGGGGTTTTTGTCATCTCTGGCTAATTGGGGCAGATTTACAGCACAGGAACAGCCTGTTTAGCGCACCAGTTGTCTGCTTGTGTTTATGCTCCATACAAGTCCCCTTCTATCAGAATGGAACTGACATGGGTCAAACATATGCTATATGTACCATTAAACGTGGGATGAATGTGGGATCAGCCATGATCTGAATGAATGCTGGAGCAGGCTCAAACGGTCAAACAACCTAGTCCTGGTCCTATATCTTACAGTCTTATGGAATAGACCAAATGGGAAAGGAGATGAGACAACAAGGTGCAGGGCTGGATGAACACAGCAGGCCAAGCAGCATCA